CCAACATGTCACCCCCCGTGGGTCGGTGGTACGAGCCGCCCCAGCCCACTCCCCCGCCCCAACATGTCCCCCCCGTGGGTCGGTGGTACAAGCCGCCCCACCCCGCTCCCCCGCCCCATGCCAATGACCGGTTTTCGAGTGCAGCGCCCGGTCGGAAAGGGACCCTGGTGGCGCTGGCTGACGCCGCCGACCGGGCCGTTAAAAGTCTGGTTGGCGGCGCAGTGGGGCCCGGGGCTAAGGCAGGCTCCCTGCCTGCCCTGGCTCCGTGTGGCTTCCGGGAAGCAGCCGCCAGGGCCCTGTGGCCCCTAGGCGCATGGGGGCCAGGGAGGCTCCACACGCTGCCCCCGCCCTGAGGGCCGGCTCCGCAGCTCCCATTGGCCGGGAATCGTGACCAATGGGAGCTGCGGGGGCGGTGCCTGCAGGCATGAGGGCAGCACGTGGAGCCTCCCTGGCCGCCCATGTGCCTAGGGGCTGCAGGGACCTGGCGGCTGCTTCCCGGGAGCCGTGGTAAGCGCTGCTGGGACCCCGCACCCCAAACCCCCTTCTGCACCCCAGCTCCCTGCCCCAGCCTGGAGCCGCCTCCCATACCCAAACTTTCTCCTGGAGCCTGCACCCCCCACACACCCCAACCCCCTGCCCCAGCCCCCTCCTGCACCCCAAACCCTTCATCCCCAGCCCCACCCCAGAGCCCACACCCCCAGCTGGAGCCCTCCCTTCCCCCTGCTCCCCAACCTCCTGCCCCAGCCCAGAGCCCTCTCCTGCACCCTGAACCCCTCATTTCTGGACCCATCCAGAGCCCACACCCCCAGCCCAGAGCCCATACCCCCTCTCCCCACACCCCAACCCTCTGCCTCAGCCCGTAGCCCTCTCCCGTTCTACAAACCTCTTATCCCTGGATCCACCCTAGAGCCCACACCCCCAGCCGGAGCTCTCACCCCCTTCCCACACCCCAATCCCCTGCCCCAGCCTGGTGAAAGTGAGTGAGGGTGGGGGAGAGCAAGTGATGGAGGGAGGGGGGAATGGAGCGAGCAGGGGACGGGGCCTTGGAGAAGGGGTGGGGCCTCGGGGCAGGGGTGTTCGGTTTTGTGCGATTAGAAAGTTGGCAACCCTACCCCAGCTGCCAAGCCCTAGAAGCCCAAAATTAAATTCTAGCCCAGCGAGCCCAAGATGCCACAATCCATATTACCCCAGTAATTGCTAGGGATGAACCCTAACCCCAGCCTGGGGAGCCCCAGCGCCCCAAGCCTAAATCCTGCCCAAGCAGAGTCACCAGCCCCAATCTCAACCCTATCCCAGCGAGTCCTATGGGGCATGACCCTACTGCTAGCCTGGGAGCCCGACAGGCCCATATCCTTCCCCCGGCCATGTCCCGAATCCCAGCTTGTGGAGTCCTACAGCACCATCCTAAGCCTGCGCAGCTCTACGGGACCCACCCAAGCCCTGGCCCTGGTAGCCTTCCAGACTCAGCCCACACCCTAGGCCTGGGCGTCTCAGCAGCCCCGAGCCTAAGCGCAGGCCCAGGTGCTCTACAAACCTCAACCCTAACTTTAGCTCCGGAAGCCTCACCTGAGCCTGGCACCAGCCTGGGGAGAGACCCCAGCGCTCACC